GGCTTGAAGCAGAAACAGGGACATGCTGATTGATTCTTATCTTTAATCACTTTCCTTTGACAGTAGTGCACACAAGTCTCCTGCAGAATAAGTGTGTTTTCTACTTTGCTACAGACGCAGCAAGATCAACCTGTTTTCTTAGTTACTGAAGAGTCAGGTGGACTAGTGAAAGACAAGTTAGGGAAACTGCTATTTTTCCAATAGGGTTAGCAGCTGTTCCCTTTAATGAGAGTAAAACTGTTAACTGCATGTGAAGAAAAAGCTACAAATCTGTTCGAATCTACCTGTATCTCTTGGAATAAGCAGCTTAGATGATAATCATCTCAACTTCAATTTTGGTTGCTATGATTTTGCCAGAATAAATCACTGTTAGGAAAACCTGAAAGTTTACCATGAGATTATGTAAGAAGTGTTTATATGGAAAAAAAACCCAACTTAATTTGATGAGAAGTGAAGGACATTCATTCAAGATAGCTCTTGCTGTTTTTCTGAAAATAAGCTGAAATCCAATGAGCATATGAATGCCTACAACTTCAGTCTTCTTTCATACTTCCCTTTCTGCCTTCTATCTTTTACAATGAACAGGGCCATGGGAAACATGGAAAGACAGTTCATAGTCATGGAATTAAAGACAGTATGACAATACCACATTCTGAAGATGCCTCACTTCTGAGGGCTTTGTTTATCTGCATCTCATTGTTTTAATGAGACAAGAAATTCCTTTTGTTTATATATGTGTGGTGGCAATGTGCTGTTTAGTGAAAGAGATGCTATACCTTAAACTACTGGCAACTTTACTTACTAATTTGCATGGTCATTAGGCTACAAAGTTTAATATGTCATACACAGTTTCTCAATCAAGCATTGCATTTACAGTGAGTTTTTCAGCATCATTTGAATGTGCTTTAAATTCAATTATATTTTGAACGAAAAGAAATACTGAAAAATTATTCTAAAATGTTCACAGTAAACTTCTTTAACTTTCTATTTTTACATACATTGTTCTCTAAAAGTTTTCTAAATTGAAGTACTTGAACTATTGTGTTTCTGTTCGAGGTGTTGTTTTGGTTGGAGGGGTTGTTTTGTAGGGAATATACAAGAGCTCTGCAACACTTTTTATATGAATTATATAAATTCATAAAACACTGAAATGTGTTTTCAGTTTTAGCAATTTTTATTTTTTTCCTGAAAAATATTTTTCTTAATTTGTTGCAAAGTATGTGAACCTGGTGCTTAAGAACATCCTTTAAAGAATTTTTATGGATTTTTTTCGTCTGATATATGCACACTGTTGGCACTAATTTCTCTGTTTGGTACATCTGTGTGCTGAAGGTTGTAGAAACAATTCTCTGCTAGAAAAATCTGTACTGGGTAATTAAAATACTGGCATATAAAGCAAAAACTTAAACATAAGGATGACAGCACTGTTAGAGTATTATTTCATAAAGATTCACAGTAAGCTTTATTTAAAGAAATATAGATATTCTGTGATCTCAGTGTATAGGGATATGTCTGTAGGTGTATATTATACACATACACACATAAAATTTTGTTTATCTGAGTTGGAAGATCAACTAACAGATCATATATCCTGTGTTGTCTGGTGTACACATGATTTATAGAGCAAAAGCTCCTTTGGAGACTTGTGCTCATCTTTTCCTCTGGAAAAGCAAGGATGTTCATAGAGAGGAATCTTTAAAGCATTAAGCTGTCAAACCTAAAAAAAAAAAAAAAATTATGCAGGTTGAGGCTCAATTTGTGAATATAAAGGATTTTAAATTGAAAGGTCAAATAGCTGATTTCCTTCCCCTCCATTTCCAGATAGTCAAAAGTACTGGTTTATAATGAAGGCCATTTATCTACTAAAGGACTAGAAAGTTGAGACAAGCTGATTATGTACTGTCTGTAGGGTGTCTGAGCAACTGAAACGGCAGCTTTAAGCATGATCAGTGCTGTACTAGAACTTGTAAATAAATCAGTATAGATTTAGCAAATTACATATTTTTTCTTTATTTTAGAGAGTGTTTTATGTTTTTTCCATTTAACTATTTTCTAAAGTATGCAAGCAAATTTTACTGTCAGAATAAGTTCAGCCCTGTAAATAGTCAATCTGATGCATGAAAGTTTCAAACAGTTGTGATCATTTGACAATTGGAAACCAGAATGGAAGTTCTCTGCCTCCTACTTGGTTTAGGTATGATTCAGGTAAGTCTGTGCTTTGTATCCCTACCTCCATTCTCTTTGCACAACAAGTTTCTCAAAACCATTATTTACAGTTTATTTTCTATAATTTGTGATATTTATGATGTACATTATAGATGAATACAACAAAGGGCAAAGACGCACAAAATTGTGATGTGGTACTAATGGCTGAGGCAGAAAGTGCAAGTTATCTGGTCCAAGGCTTTAGAAGATGTTTAAACATTTAGCCAAGACTCTGTTACCATAGCTGTCAGAAACCCATATATTTTTAGACTGTCATTCTGGGTTTAGGTAGCACAAATTTCTTTTAAGCTAATTTCTTCTGGTTAAACAAATAATAAAGAGCTAAATTGCACCAAAGAGACCAAAGAGCATTCAAACTAATGAAAACCATGCCTTTGGTCATTTTCTCTGGACTTTAATTCCTGTTGAAGTTTGTTTTAATTCCAGTTACATATTTAATGGTTAAAAAGGTAGAAGAGGCCATTAGATTATTTAGTCTAAGCTTCTGTGTAATGTAAGTTCTTAGTGTCACCCTGTTATTTTAACTTCTGTCCAAGGAAAGCATAAATGGAATGTATAATGCATAATAGTGTTTTTCTGGGGAAGTATTTGGACTAAAGATTACTTCTATTAATTTCAAATTTGCAATGTCACTTTATTGAAGATCCCAGTGGAGTTTTAGGCTTGTATTTTTAGCTCTGAAAATAGTTTTAAACAATCTTGGCAGTAGTAGAAATAAAGGCTTTTGGGTACTTAGCTTAGTTGTCTAATTTCTAAATAGTTTAAATGCTAAGGCTGTAAAATAAATTATGTATAGCTTGAATTTAAGTGAACAAAGAATACTGGTTTTCCTTTGGGGAATAGCTTTAATTTAAAAAGAAAGTAATGTTTTCTGTGTAACTCTCAGCTGGGAATGCATTTGTTAGAAAAATAACTATTCGGTGTTTTGAAAATTTAGTTCTGCTTAAGCTAGAGGCTCAATAAGAAATCTCCATATAGGAGAACTAAGCTACTGATGCATGTAGCTTGGCTGGATTAGTAAAGACTGTAAATTGAGTTCTTGTAAAATTTGTCTCAAAAAATGAGCATGTGTAAGAAGAAAATTGTGGGTATTTTTCTTCTCTCCTTCATTGCTATGGGGTATGAAATCCTCTACAAGCACCATTGCAGACAATGAAACCTGGCTTTAGTGGACCAGGTTTCCAGAGCTTCATTTACTTGTTGTATTTTTTTGTTCTCTTTATATATCCAGCAAAGCAGCTTTGTTCTGTTTTTGTGTTATCATAGATTCATTTTCTCATGGCTCTGGGCTACACCATGGAAGAATAGTGAAGCTCCCAGCTTTGATTCATAGATCTTTCATGTAGACACTTGAATTTCCTTCTCCCCTGCTTGTAGACTTGGCAGCCTCAGAGCTTTCTAGGAGGTCTTTGCCCGGCTGCCTCCTGACATACACTAGGAGCTCCTGTGCTAGGAAGAAGGTCACCCGTCTTCCCTAACCTGACCACTAGGAAGACAATCTCATCGCAGGGCTCTCCTACCCCTTTTCTTACCCTAGGAGTGGTGCAGTTGCAGTTTTCTGTGTAAAAGGCTGAGTTATTCCTCAGACGTGTTCAGGTGCTTCTGCCTGTGTCTTGTCTGAGGGAACCATTCCTAAGTGTCTAAGGTCTAAGTTTCATTTGTGTGATACCAGGATCTGTGCTGTTACTGCTACTTCTCTATTTTGAAAGAACTCAGGCTTCAGCTTTTTTTTTTTTTTTCTCTTGCACGCTAGTTTAACACTTCAGGCACTGATTAGGGCTTGGGTGCTTTGGTGTGTTTTTCTGGGTTGGGGATGGGAGGGAGTTACTCTTTGTTGAAGTGAACCTCCTTAATTTCAGGTGTTTGGTTAAGCCTTCTGCTCACCGTAGAGCTTTCTCTGCCTTCACAGAGATGCTTACCTATAAAGCTCCCATTGATTTCAATGGGTAAATATTTTCCTGATATGATTAGGAGACTGTTTGGAAAGAGAATAAGATCAGCAGGACATTTGGACATGTGTCAGAGAAGAAAAACATCAGATTATGATGTTAGAACACTGATCACTTCATGCAACATGAAAATCACAACATGAAAAGCTCTGTATCCCATCATAAGGTAAAACTGTTCTGGGACCAACCTCTATCTTAGGGTCTGCTTACAGCTGTAGTTTTTGTTTTCCCAAATAGTACAGCTGTCTGCTTCAAAGGAACAGTGAAGAATGAAAAAAACAACTGTGACTTTTTAACACCTGCCTCCTAAAAAGTGTGTGCATGTATGTATACACTATATCATATGCATGACTCCAGAGTACTTAAAACTGCTCTCTGATTCTTTTAACTGTGTAACTCCAAAGAGGTCTCCTAGGAACTTCTTGTACTTCTCATGCTTGATATTTTCAGCTTGGATTAAATTTGTCTACCTTTAAGGATTTGATTGGCATTGCTTTACAGACCAAGAACTATTCTGCTCTTAGAAAGAGCTCTGATATTTGTCTTAAAGGTTTTGCCATGCATAAAAGGGAAAACCAGTGTTATTTCTATTGATTCACCTTCAGACCACATAGCAAATTCAAAGAGAAATAACTAAGTGAAGAGAAATTATGAAATGGCAGAAAGGAACAAGGAATATGTTCCTGGGCCTCAATCTGAAAGGTCATACACCTGGCATCTTTTGAATGTCAAGTCTGAAGATGAGAAAGCAGTGTAAATAAAATAAGACCTTTGCATTGCTGGTTGGCAAGTTCCCTCACTCACTCTTGCTGTCCTTCCTGTCAGGATCTGTCACTGTGAGGGAGATGATGAAAGTCCCCTCATCACACCATGTCGCTGCACAGGGACCCTGCGCTTTGTTCATCAGGCCTGCCTGCACCAGTGGATTAAGAGCTCGGACACACGCTGTTGTGAACTCTGCAAGTATGACTTCATAATGGAGACCAAGCTCAAACCTCTTCGGAAGGTATGGTGCTTTTGAATTTAATCATTCTCAAGTGTCAGATGTCCAGAATGGCCGTGTAAAGTTACCAGCACAATTAAAGAAACATCTGCCTGTCAAAAATGGCTTTGTTTTTGCTGTTGTTAATGAGTCCCAGTGATTTTATTCTTACATTTAAGTTAGTTAATTTACAGCAGCAGAGGATTTGACTAAAGACTCTCTTTCATCACACATACAATAAAAATGGACAAATAATAGTTTTTTGTTCTAGAATTTTTATCTTCAGCTTTTCATTATTGGTTCATCTGCCTATTTTTAAGCCTGAAAGAAATCCTTTCACGTTTTGCTCCTGCATAACAAAGGCGAGTTCACTCAGCAATTTTTACATTGAGCCAGTAACTTCTGGTTGAGAATGATGCTTATACCAATGTGGAGACTGCAATTATGAAGTAACACAGTCAGTTCAGCTGCATCTTTGTAACTATTACTCATGGGCAAATTAATCACTCATACATTAAAATTAGTTAATGAAATCTAAAATACAGGGTGACCTTGCATCCTGAATGTCAGATGTATGTTATCTGCACTCATCTGTTTTCTAGGATAAATCAACATAATGCTACACAGGCTGTCAGTACAGGGAAGGTGAAGGGTTTGTTAAACATATGTGGGTTCTGTTTTCTTTGGAATGGATCGTTTCTCTTCTAATTTTTATTTTAAAATGCTCTCATCCTGGAGTTCTGTTGCATCTTTGAAGTTTTAGTCAATCTAGAACTGGGCAAGTTTTGATTTAAAATAAATTTCAGTGTGTGAGCCCTTGAAAAACATGTAGAAACTATTACTTATGACTAGCATATGCATACACAGTAGCGTTTCTATGGCAAAGACATCTTGGTTTCATCAGCCTTGCACGGGTAGCAGCAGTTCAGAGAAATGAGAGCACATGGAATTCCTTCACATTTCCCATCCAGAAAAATTTTCTACTAAGTCCCTGATGATAAACCACTTCTGAAGAGAGAATTGAAGTTGATTTGAAAAACAAAGCTTGTAATAGGAAGAGAAACAGTTCTCAAATGCTGGGTAGATCTGACTAGGTAGGCTGGAAATCGAAACAGATGTAAATAGACAAAAAGATGTCTAAAAACTTAATTATATTGACTTGGATTTTAGTAATTGCAGATAAATTTTAACTAATGTGACAGGAAAGAGATAATTGTTTAAAAAACCCTGCCTCTTGCATATCTTTGGGGGATTCTTTTTGTATATATGTTTCTATTTTCAACCCAAATTGCTTAAACCTTTCATCTAACAAGTACTCTCACAGCAGCTACTTTCCTCAAGAGAATACACAGATAGCAGTATTTTTAACAAAAGCCTTTTCCTGGTTATGTTAGATAATACAGCATCTTTTTAAAAGGCAAACAAAATTTATAGCTACCAAGGAGAAAACGAATGGAAAATGTGCATAACTTGATATCAGAAGTAGGCACTTTTAGTTCTGTGTGTTGTCATTACCACCTCCCCCTTTTTTTTTTTAATTGAAAGAAACTAATGGAGTACTGAGAGACTTAGTAATGTAATTCCTGCAAGTCTGTAATTTCTTAGTTGAATGATTGCCACCTTATTCAGCTTATCACTGGTTCTCAGGTATGTTTTATATTTCTGACACAGGAAAGATTAACCTCTTCTTTCAGGCAGGATATTTTTTTTTCTGCTCAAAGCAGTGCTCAAATGTAGTTTATCTGTCTGGCAGTATATGCTGGCAACATTCCTCCCTTCAAGTGCAGTGCTAACAAATATTTGACTTGTGTAGTATGGACCCAGCATCTAATCATAGATCCTTTCTTATAAGTGACACCCATTTCAGAAACCAAAACCAAGGTTTCCAAAGTGTGTGCACTATCATCACCATCGTTCAAAGATTTGTGAAACACTAAAGAGTTTATGAGAAGCTGTTTTGCAAACCAAGCATTTCGACAGCTGTAGTAAAGACAAGGCAAAGGAGGAAAGAATGATCATGAGACCTACCATGTGAGTAGAGCTGACTGTTAACTTTTCACACAAGCATCTTTTATAAAAATCACTGAAAGTGCTTTTTTTGGTCAAAACCTATATATTTTGCAAAAGTGGAAACTTCCAATGAAACACTGTCAAATTTCTTGGAAGGTTTTACACAGCCCGAAACCTCAACTGTGCAGCATTCCCTGGTAGTCTGTGTTTTCAGAAGATTGGCACAAAGGGTGGTTACCAGAGACCAAAGTGCTGTGGGAGAGGCAGCCATTAACACTGAAGCTCTCCACAATCCTGTCTCCTTGATGCAGGATTTGAAAAGCACTACAGACTCTAGGATTTCCAGACCTTGAAAGCTTTGGGTTTTGCAAAGGGTTGACCTCGAGAGCCTTCAGCCTCCAGCACTAAGTCTGACCTGGCAGCAGCAAATCAAAATTTCCAAATGCCTGGTATTCTTTGGTCATAATGGCAGGGACATTATGAGCAGTTATATCTGAAAACAATTCAATTCTTTTCAACTTTGTTGTATGCTGAGTGGAAATGGCCAAGTTGACCAAGAATTTATTAATTTTGCTAATGAGCTTTGAGGAATTCTGAAAACAGATTTATTTTAATTTATTAAAAAAATAAAAAGGAAATTATTGTTTCATTATGATGAATTTTGTCATAATACCTTTCTAACATGCCTACTTCTGGTCTCCTGAAGGGAAAAAATTACAGACCACCGAACTTAATTACAGGTATCTATGATTTTGCTTTTTGCAGTATCGCAAAAGTATGATTTAAATATAAAACAAACTATTTGATTCAGTAGTGAACGATGATCTTTATTTATGCCTTATCCTTTCATGCACCCTCAATATTTTATAACAAATTTTTTGTCAAAGTCTAAGGTTTTATAGCAGAATCACATTGGAATATCATGCCATACAACTGTTAGCATGCATAAGTGACAATGTGGAGCATACTAAGTTACCATAAATTAAGATAATTACTATTAAATCAGTAGGTTTGTGCCAATGTGCAACAAGTATTTAATTAGAGAATCCCAGAAAGCACCAGACATCAAATAAAACTTAGTTTAATCATTTTAGTGAGTCTTTGCATTAAAGTAATCCTATTAAGCATTGATCAAGAGGCATTGCAAGTGTTTCATATATGCGAGTAGGTCTAATGACTCGGCTCAATATAAGTTTAGAGATTAAATATTAAGCATTGCTTAGAGTGTCTGGTTTATTTCTCATGGTCTCTGTTACATCTGTCTGTGGTTATAAATAACACAGTTGCATTTGTAGCTTTACCTCAGCATTTGCAATCCATAATGCAGAATTTATAAAGTGACTTTATCGTGGAAGGAATTAGTGGCAAGAAGCTTGTGTGAGTTCCTCATTGAACTCTCTCAGGTAATAGCTTCACCTGGAGGAAACCACTTCTTTTTTAAAAGGATGAAATCCTGGTATATTAGCACCTACATTTCATATCTCTTGAATTTGGTTTGAAGCGTAGTAGAAGCAGGAATTGAATGGAAATATTGGAAGTATGAAATGGATTAAAGTGTCAAAAGGAACTTGAAATGCAGAAATGTCTTCAAATGGAGATTTCTCAACAGTGTCTCACTATACTTCAAAATGCTTTTCATATTTAAATTCTGCTATCTGTTGGTAATGTCTGGTATCTGATGAGATGTTTTGCTTTGATGCATTATCCCAACAGATTATTCTGTGGTGTTGGAGATGAGTATTTTCTCTTCCAATTTTATTTTTGAAGTGATTTACAAATAACGTCTTATTTATGTGAGGCATAAGCAATACTGCTCATTGTTACCATGTGGTTGCTCTTGGTCATTAAGGAAGACCAAGTCAATTTTTTGTTTAGGGCATTATATACCAGTTGAGGTTAATTTTCTTTCTGATAAAAAGGGTATCTGAATTCATTCCTTTTAAAAATAGAAGATTGGGAATTTTCTTTTAGAACAGTGTTATGTTTCTGTTAAATTAATCAGAAGCAAACCCAAATGCTGATAATGAATGTGTACATATAGCTTTAAAATATTCACTCCTCTTGTATTCCGTATTTGCCTATATACTGAAAAATACGATACACGGTCCCTCTCTTGAGTTTTACACCCTTGAACTCTGTGGAAGTTCTTGTATATCCAGCTACTATCATTAGAGAAGGACGGAATGCTTTCTGTCTGCTTGATATCATTTATTTTATAAATAAACAAGAGTGATAAAATATGCAGGCCAACTTTAACTCTCATGCAAGATTCAAAGATTTAAGTCCGACTTGGAGATACATGTTTCACGGCTGCCCAGAACAGGGTATTTAGGCCCTGGAGAGAAGTTAGGGAACAGGCTAGCACAAATTTCCATACAAAGTAAAAGTCAGTTCAAGCGTATCAGTGCCCCTTTGTGGTCAGACTAGTAATAAAATCAGTTCGGGAAAGATTTCAACTGTTTGATATAATGCTGATTTAACTGCTAGATCAAAAGCAAATATTTAATAGTTTAAAGATACTCTGTTTGCTACAAGATCATTGGATCAGCAGGAGCTATGTAACCAATTCAAAGGTAGGGTTTGAGCCAACAGACGACTTGTGGGTAATGCCCAGCTGTAAGGCAGAGATTCAGCAATTCTGCAGGCTCCTTAAAAAAAATGTGAATCATCTATGGAAGCAACAGAAGAAAATCAGAATGTTGCTTTAATCCATGATAGACAAGAGGAAAGTCTAAAGTGAATCTCTAAGTCCCATTTCACTCCCAGACTTCATGTGTCACTAGGCATACATCACTTCTGCTTCCCCCTATTGGAGTTATCATTTCATAGGGTGCCTTTTTTTACAAAACAGTCGTCACCTGCACTACTCTAAAGTCAGTTGTTAAATCTCTTACCTAATGTGTGAGAGAGACAGATTCAGCTCTCTTCTCTGTGCTCAACACAGTCTTATAGAAAGAGTAAATATTGAAAAATATGACTGGAGGAATTAATTCATAATGGGATGCTTTGTGGAT